GTCCTACACATGTAGAGAGTCGGGATATGTTTCATTGTACTTCAGGAGCGAGGGAGGTTCTGTCGAAACAACCTACGACCAATTTTTTTTAACCTGACACTTTCAAATATCTCGAAAAGTAAGCACTTTGCAAAAAAATGTCCAAATTCATGAGATTGTTTGATTTCAACATGATTGTTGTGCAGAACACTAGTCGGTGGTAGCACGTGAAGTACTTAATCATGATTTGAATAGTGATTGAATCGGTAAATTGGCTTGCGAGATTACCAGATCTTAGTTTCCCAGATTTTTTTGCATGTGTATTTGACAACAAATATTTGCAATAATGTTTAGATACACACTGCGAAAGGCAGAAATTTTTCCTTGGTAATAAATTAAAAATAAATGTTAGCTGTTTAAAAGTTAAATGGTGCAATGAGTTCAAACAACGAGAACAAATTTATACTTAGGAATCGTGTTAGTTACAGCACTGATAACATTATCTTCAACTGAGCGTCCTTTTAATGTAAACGGTTAGAACAACCTACAAATTTTGCGCATTTTCATGTGACACACTATATTATGTGTAATATATTTTCTTATAGATGTTTGCTGAGTGGATTACGAAATTGTTTTAATGGGTCCATTGATGAATTTCTTATTTCAAGGTTTCTGAATTTTTCGTCTATCTGACTGTTGGAAATATTATTACTAGAGAGCGGATTTTATGAAACTTGCATATCCATAACTTTTTGCATATAAGTCTTGATATTTAATATGTGAACGAATGATGCTAATTAAAAATGAATACAGCAATAAAAAAATTGCATATTTGCTTATATTTGCCTTCTGCTGCATATTTCACGTAATGGGTGCATATTTTGCATTTTTATCAATTTTTGTGCTAATTTAAAAAAAAAAAATGATTGTCATTCTATCGGCATTTATCTAGAAAGACCAAATTTCATGAATCATATTGCAAATATCGTCCTGAGCTTCAAAAAACTATGAAAGGTTTGGGTTTTATGGTAGTTTGGAGAAACCACTGAGTGTTAAGCCATCCTTTCAGGTAAATTCGCGCCATAATTACTTTTGGAAATACGTTCATTTTCAATATTTTTGTTCTTTACTTCAGTGTATTAATGGTATGTTTTGTGGTGGTCGAAGGGACGTTACCCTATTATTTTTCATCGTGAGTTTGCAATGAAAGCGATAGAGGTGTGTCAATATGTCGAAGATAACTCAAATTAATTTATGGTTTAAACCTTTTCCTGAACTTATTCTTCAAGAAGGAAGTGTTTTTACATCTGTGGACGCAGTACGCAGTTTTTCTATTTACAAATACATACTTTAGAATCACCGGAAAAAAAATTGTTAGAATATTTCGAAAAATATTTAAAAATAACTTGTTGCCAAAATAGTCATTAAATTAGTCGATTACTACTCTTTTAATTTGTTGTGTTTATATTTATTTTTTAGTATAAGAATACTATCATTAAAAATGTGATTTATGTGTTAGTGAGCAGTAATTAAACACTTTGCAATGTGATTTATGTATTTTTTGTAATAAAACGTAAGCTCTGGAAATCTGTTTTTGTAATTTGTAAATAAATTTAGTTCACTTATTAAGCTTTTTTTTAATTTTTGCAGCATATGCAACTGCTCTCTCTGCATATATTAAGAAAGTTACTGCATATTTGCAAAAATTTGGTGCATATCATATGATCATATTTCCCAAAATTTTGCTGCATATTTTCCGCTCTCTAATTATTACTTAAAGGACCTTTAACCAATGGGAGCATTGTCTCAACAATGGTTTAAAGTATAAAACATCTAACTTTAATTTTAAAGCACCTTCAACATGATTATGAAATCGGCCTTATGATAGACAATTTGCTAATATGCTGGTCCGATTGCTATGACGTTTAACTGTACTTTTCTTTTAACTCGAAGTTCCGTTAGGTCACCCATTATTAACCTAACACTTACTATACAGCAACTGAGAGCGGCCTTTTTGAGCAATTATTGAAAATAGTGTAATACTTCTCCAGATTCGTACAATATTTCATTACTTCATTCATCAACAATTGTTAAGTTTTGTTATTTGTAGTTATCTATATGGTTTATTAAAATGTTCTCTTCAAAAGCGCCAGCTGTTTTGATAGTAAATCTTTCTAAAATGCCTTCATAAAATGTTTTGTGTGTTTTGTGCATTTATTTCGTTTAAATTGACCTACAATAATCGTCATATTGGATAAAATAATTCAATTTGAGTAGTTCAGTGATTACTGACTGAGGCAGCGCAAGTAAATCCCTAGCTTGACGGACTCCCAGCACATGTCACAATGCTGCCGATGGGGTTTTGAGGAAGACCAACTGCTGGAAGTCTTCATTTCGGTCTTTTTGGATACGGCCTGAGTGTAATTGGAGATGGCTCCATTGACGGGGTCCCGCACTATGTGGAACGAATGGATCAGTTTGTGCATTTATTCCGTTTAATTTGTCCTATAATAATCATCACACTGGATAAAATAATTCAGTTTGAGTTGTTCAGTGATTTCTGAGTGAGAATCGAAAATTAAAATTCACTTTGACATTTGGATTTTGCATGGTTAATCCAAAGACGCGATCGCCGAACTTCGACAGTGCGACGGAATTTTTCGCCACAAATCGGGTCGGGCGCGAATTTCAAAATACGATTTTTAAAACCTTTTGATGCAACGATTTGAAAAAAATACTGGCCGATAGCCCTCCTCGACCTCCACAAATGCATCACTCAATAATAGCTTTAAAGTGATCTGGGGAGATATTATAAAATAAAAACCAATTTCCCGTGTTAATTCCCTATATCCAGACTTTTCAAAATAAAAAAGTTAAAGAGGTTGTATCAAATAAAAAAGACACCCTGTATATTTTTATATAGATATTACATTGTTTTTTGTAATCTACGTGCTGTAAAATTAAAATAAAACTAGTCTTGGAAATGATCTTATAGAATACTTGCCTATTTTACTTTAATATTCTTTCCAGATGTTTAAGAAGAGGGCAGGTACAACTGACAAGGGGAAAGACTACGAATACCTCTACATTGCTAACTTAGGTTTAAAATTATTAATCGATGATGACGTCGAAAACTTTTATTTGTCTTCGAATGACGACGAGTTTGGTTCTTTCGATGATGTTGTAGTTGAAATTATATTCAAAGATCGCACGGAAACTTACGCTGTTCAACTGAAACATGTTACCAGAAAAACCGCATTGATTGACAAATTAAATTCGCCGAATGGAGAATTTAGCATCGAGAAGTATTACGAAAGTTTCAAAAATCAGAGGAAGCTGGAGGAACCCTCTGTCAAAATGGTTCTATTTACCAATTGTATGATGAACACCGAGCACTTAAACCGGTTTAAATTTGGAAAATTGACACCATGCGAACAAGATAATCTGATTGATATTTCGAACTCCAAAGGACAGTGTTATAGATTCGAAGCGAGTGAAGACAATTTGGAGAAGTATGAATTTTTTTTCAAAAATTTATATCTCTGTAGTGATCACCCAGATGTCAGACAACTTAAAAAGGAAATATTTGAGAGACTAGAGGCACACTTCGGTAGTAATGAGAGTGTTTTTCGAGAGTACGTAGATTTCATAACCCAGTGGAGTATCAAGGATGGAAAAAAATTTAAATTAGATAAAACACTGATAAAACGCGTGATTGCCCTTTGTGTGTGTTCGCCTTTTACCAAATCGTTGTCCTTTGTTGCTGGTAAACCTGTCGACGACAAAGAAAAAATTTTTAGAGAAGCTGTTTCCAAACGCGATTTGGCTGTTATTGATAAAAACAATTTTGAAAAAATCAAATCAGTTTGGTCAGATGCTATAGACGGTATCGATGATATAAAGACAACGAGTAAAATTAATAAAATGTACCAAATTATGGAAAACGGGATAACAAGTAAGGAAAATCTTTACGCTGAGGATGCATCCAAAGTATCGAAACTCATGTGGTTGTTGGGAAAAACTCCATTAATCGTTGAAGGATCTCCACAAGTTTATCAAGCAATAAAAACATGCCAAATTCGAAATATTATCGTACTAGATAATCAAGAAACGTTCAGTAAAAGTGTTGGAGGAATCACAGACAGTCAACAGAAAACTTTGCTGTTTCAAAATTTGTCTGATTTAAAAGAACACACAACGTTGTATGAAGAAATCTTGACAAATTTTACGTATTCATTGGAAGGTCAAAGGGAAGCTGCGTTGAAGTTTCTACTAGAAATGTGCGATGTTGACAATTTGATTACTACAGAGATTTAGTTGAAACGTTGAATGCTCCATTGCTGATTGGAAATTTACAAGAAGCTCTGCCACCGAGCCATATCGAAAGAAAGTTAACGAAAACTTTAATAGATATAAAATTTTTGAAAAATATGGATCGAAATACTGTTGCTTTAATTGACTGTGTTACAGATGTGAACTCCTTTCAACTAAATTTACCAGATGTATTAATCAAAATTAATGATGTAGACATGATTCAAAGTACAGTTCAAAATCCGACGATTTATATTTATGAAAAAGATATCTCAAAAGAGAAATTTGATGCTTTGTGCAAACAGAATTTAAGAACACAAATTCATCATTTTAATTATTTGGACAATCGTTGTCTGGAGTGGATAAGAAGTGGGAATTGTGACTCGAAACGTGGATGCTTTGAAAAACTTGATAGGTTTCGCATAAATGATCAATTTATGGAACATCATATCGACCAACGTCAATACTTTAAAAAATCGTCGCAAAATATTAATATTATCTGCGCCGATCCTGGAATGGGAAAGAGCACATTATTAAAAAGTTTGAAAAACACTAGTCCTTCGTCGAAGTGGACTATTTTAATCTACGCAAGAAATCATCCTCAACACTTTAGAAAAAATAAATCAGATATTGACAAGTTTTTGAAATATATTCTGGACGTTACTTGTAACAAGTATTCTAAGAAATCCCACCAAGTAATTTTCAAAACAATGCTGGAACAAAATCAAATAGAGTTAGCCTGGGATGGACTCGATGAAGCGTCTGACGCCACCCAAGCTTCCATTATGGCTTTAGTAAAAGCTTTTTCGGAACGAGGGGTAAAGCAATGGTTAACTTCGAGAAACAACTTAAAAAATAATTTGGAAAAGACGTTACTTACATTTTCGCGAAATATAATGCAGTTTAATGAGGAGGAGCAACGAAGTTATATTCGAGATCGTTTACAAATTCCCGAAGATAAGTTGATTGAGACTTTTAGTAAAATAAGGGAAAATATAATGGCTTATCCAAATTACGAAATTTTGGGCATTCCCCTACAAATTTACATGTTAACAGAATTATTTTCAAAAGATTTAAACAAATATCTCAATTTGTTAGGCGGCAATTTTACTGTTCTCAAACTGTATAATCATTTCGTCAAAGAAAAATTCAACGTTTTATATGCGGAGAAAAAAGAATTTTGTTTATCGAATGAATCCAATTACCAACATTTTGTAAATGAAAAGGAAAGTAAAATGAATTTTTACAAACAATTAGCTGCAAATTTTTACATTTATGATTCATTTGCAGAAAATCCTATCAACGTAAAATGCAATCTTGACGAAGAAGTTAAAACTTTTTTGAACAAAATTAAAAATGAAGGCGATGAAGTAGGAATCATAAGCCGCGTTAATTCTAACAACGAGGTTGAATTCGTGCATAATTCGTTCGGGGAATATTTTGCAGCTTTATATCTCTGTAAATATGAACCATTAAAAGCACGAGACCAAAAGTTTATAACGAACCGTCGTTACAACAATATTCGATTTTTTTTGGATTTAATGTTGGCAAAAAACCGTAAAGGTTTCGTAGCTATTTTATATAAAAATCCTTCAATTCTGGGGGAACTCACTGATGCAGATTTAAAGGAAAAAGATTTCATCGGTCGCGACATTTTAGAAGTGGCTTGTGCATACAGTAAAAATTATCCAGTTTCGAAAAATGACACTGTTTTAACAAAATCCGATTTTAACGAAGATTGGGTAGGTAATACGGAAATCATAAGACATTTGAATTATCGCGATGTGGGGCAAAAATTTAATCAATTCAATTCATGTTTTCATAAGTTGCTACTTTTTTTACCATTTTTGGTTCCATTATATGATGGGACTCGATTTGATGATGACTACTTGGCAGTAGTTTTATATTATGCAATTAAGTATGATGTTTCAATGATTTTTGAGTGCATTGAAAATTCTTTGCCTTTAAAGACCATGTACAATAGCATTAATCCAAGGAGTGTTCTGGGATTAGCTCTTTATAATCGATCAACGCAAATATTAAGAAAACTGTTTTCCAAAAAGGAAGACTATTTCGAATGGGATTTTGTAGAATATTTAGGGGATTCGGTAATGGAAATTGACGAAATATTTACTTTTATGTTAGAGTTGCAAGAGTTTCAAATAGAAGTTCCTAATTTGAAAGGTCAGTTGTTGATTCATTATGCATGTGAGAATCGCCTAATTAAAACGTTAAGTTTATTATTGGTTAAAAGTCCGAATGTGGATGTTCGGGATAGAAGTGGTCGACTACCGATTCAGTATGCTTGTGAACATGGTGATTTAGAGTCAGTAGAATTATTGGTGAGAAATGGTGCAAAATTGAATGTTTCCGATGAAAATGGTCTTCTGCTCATTCATTACGCTTGCAAAAATTGGTTAAATGGATACAGAATTATACCATTTTTGATTGAAAAAGGTGTGAAAGTAGATTCTGCAGATGGAAATAGTCGACTGCCGATTCATTACGCTTCTGAATATGGAAATTTAGATGCCATGAAGTCACTGGTAAAGAACGGAGCAAAGGTGGATGTTCCTGATAAGAATGACAAAAAGCTGCCCATACATTACGCGTTTGACAAAATCTTGAATGCGGACTCCATTGTATCATTTTTGAAAGAAAATGGTGCAAATTTAAATTCCCCAGATGGGTTTGGTCGACTGCCGATTCACTACGCTTGTGAATATGGATCTTTAGGCGCAGTAAAGTTGCTGGTAGACAATGGTGCAAAACTGAATGTTCTGGATGGGCATGGTAAGCTGCCCACATACTACGCATCGAAAAATCAGTATTGTGAATATAGTACTTATTATAACTTTTTTGATAAAAAAAGGTGCGAAAATAAATTCACCAGATCACGATGGTCGGCTACCGATTCATTATGCTTGTGAATTTGGAGATTTGGATCAAGTAATGTTGCTTAAAACGAATGGTGCGAAAGTGGATATTCCTGATAGAAATGGTCGACTACCCATGCATTACGCGTCTAAAAATCGTTTTAATGGACACAGAATTATGACCTTTTTGATAAGAGAAGGAGCGAAAGTAGATTCCCCAGATGAGGATGGCCGACTGCCAATTCATTTTGCTTGTGAATTTGAAGATTTAATAATAATAATAATAATAATAATAATAATAAATCTTTATTTCCTACGGTATTTACACCCAGTTACAGGAAATATTGACAAATAATCGATTAATAGAGTGAGAGTGAATACATAAAGATAACAAAATAATTATAATATTGATTACAAACCAAAAAACCCTAAAACAGAGAAAAAAAAATAAAAACTAAAAATAAACCTATTTAACAGAAATGGTTTTTAATACAATTAGTAATGAACTTAATACAGTCACTATAAATGTCACAATAGGCGGCAATATCATTGAATAATTCGCACATTAATGCAATAGGCGATCTTACTAATACGTTGGTCCTGCTTGATTCACAATAGAATATGTTAATTTGTCTAGTATTAATCCTTGGAATTAAAAAATTGAGTTGTTCTAAAAGTAACGGACAGTCTATTTTATTATTTATAAGATGTATTAAAAATTTTATTATTATTATAATTCTCCTTAAATGGAGAGGTAAAAAGTCAAATCTTGAGAGTAAAGCAGAATGGTCATAGCCTCTTGCTGGGTAAGTACCATCAAGTGGAAAACATAGGAATTTTAAAAAAACACGTTGGACGTGTTCAATATGTGTTTAATTTGGTTCCCAATATATCAGATTGGGAACCAAATTAAAGCTCCGTATTCAAGTTGTGATCGCACCAGAGAAAAGAATAGAGAACACAAGGTTCGTGTATAAGTAAAATCTCGGCAATTTCTGTAGATAAATCCGTACGTTCTAAAACTTTTGGATACCATCTCATGAATGTGCTCTATAAACTGAAGTAGTATCAAAGAGTATACCTAGATCTTTAATCCTTTCAGTTCTATTTATTAAACTGTTTTCAATTCGATAGGGAAAAATGATGTTCTCCTTTTTTCTAGAGTAGGTCATAGCAAAGCATTTATCTTTGTTTAACGACAATCTATTTTTGGAAGCCCAGTCGCATACTGAGCATATATTTTGTTGTAAATGTTGGCAGTCCAATGTTGATGTAATTTTTAAAAACAATTTAAGGTCGTCTGCAAAAAATAATTTCTGACATGAAATAACGTCTCCAAAAGATCATCTATAAAAAGTAGGAAAAGCAAGGGGCCGAGGTTAGAGCCTTGTGGAACACCAGAGGCGGGCTTAATAATATTCGATTTGTAATTGCGATATTTAACATATTGTTCACGATTAAATAAGTATGATTCAAAAAGTTTTAAAAGACCTTCTGAGAAACCAAATCTTTTTAATTTGTCGAGTAGTATAAAGTGATCAATTTGATCAAACGCTTTCTGAAAGTCAAAATAAATAGTATCTACTTGCTGACGATTATCAATTGCTTTGGACGTAAATTGTGTAAAGCAGGCTAAGTTTGAAATTGTGGAACGTTTCTCCATAAATCCATGTTGGTGAGGCGACAAAAACATTTTAATTGAGGAATAGATATGTTTATAAATTATAGATTCAAAAACTTTGGAAAAATTGCAAAGAAGAGAGATAGGTCTATAATTCTTTATTTCTGCTACATCTCCTTTTTTGTATACTGGACAGATAGTTGCTCTTTTCCAGATATTTGGGAACGTGGAAGAATTTAATATTTTATGAAATAACCGGAAGCAAGGATCTACAAAAATATGCGCACAGTCTCGTAACAGAAAACTTGGAATGCCATCAGGTCCCATTGTAAGCGAATTTTTACAACTTTTTAAAGCAAATAAAATTTCTTTTTGTGAAATATTATTGATATTGACTAGTAGCGATGGATTGATTTCATAGTTGTTGGCAGTTGTGTTGGAATTAGAATTTTTGTAGACTCCATTAAAATAATTTGCGAAACCTTCAACAATTGTATTCGGAGTGTCGAGTTCTTCATTATTATATTTCATTAAGCCGGGGATTCTCGAATGGCCTTTTTTGTTGTTAATATACTCCCAAAACTTTTTTGGATCTCTATGCAGTTTATCCTCGATATTTGACATAAAACTTTTGTATGCATTCTTAATCATTATTTTTAGTTGAGATCGATGGTATTTAAAAATATTGTAATAATGTGTAGATTTATGCTTTATGTACTTGCGATGAGCTAAAGATTTATTACGAATACAATTTAGGATTTCAGTGTTAAACCAAGGAGGATAATATTTATGATGATAACTTTTGAAATGATATTTGGGGATAGTATACTCAAAAATTTCATAAATCGTTTTATAAAGTAATTCGCAAGCAGTATTGACATCAGATATATCATCAAGAAAAGACCAATCAATTTTCGAGAGGAGATCATACATTAATGGATAGTTCGCTTTTTTGAAGTTGAAAGATTTAGACTGTGAGTTCATACAAAATTCTTTAAACATTTTATCAGTTAAGGAGAATTCAACAATAAGCGCTGGGTGAAGAGGATCTTCTTTTACAACCGGATCTTCAGATTTTGTGACACTACACTGCAAGTTAGAAAAAACCAAGTCTAGAAGCCGACCCATACTATTACTTACATTATTGTACTGTGAAATATTATAGAATTCTTTAAAATTATTTAACACTAAGTTTGAATTAGTTTTAAGATTAAGGCTAAAATCAGGCGTATTAAAGTCACCCAGAATTATTAATTTTTCATTCTGTATAAAATCTAGATTTATGAATGTTTCAAAAAATAACTCAAATTCTGCTAGAGTAATTGATGGTGGTATATATAAAACAAAGATTAGTAATTTTTGACTAAATTTACCGGTGATTTTAACACCTACAATATCTACAATAGGAACCAAGCTTGTAATGGACGAAAGATCTAACTTCGTAGAGTTATATTGATTACTGACTGCTAAAAGTACACCACCACCTTTGGACAAACCAAGTTCAGCTAAATTACGATCATTACGATGTACAACAAAATTATGTGGGAAAAGTTCATTGTCAAAAATATCTGACTTTAACCAAGTTTCAGAAACAGCTATAAAATCAAAATAATTGGATGATACAGAATTAAAAAATTCAACAGATTTAGAACATAAACCTCTAACATTCTGATAATAGCACTGTAAGAATTTACCATCATAACTGAGTGAGCAAGCTAGTTTAAAGTCACTATTTTTGGTGTGCCATTAATATATTTAATTTTTAAATTTGCTTCACCACGACTAATTCTATCTGTCAATTCTTGCTTCACAGATTTATAATACGCAATCTGCTTAGGCGTTTTGTCATAATTCATCGAAATATTTTTGTAAAGATCTATCTTGCGTAGATTTTGAAATTTTCTGACAATCATATGAGCGTCGGATTCGGATTTAAGAGTGATTCTGATAGGCCTTGGACGTAGATTTACAAGATTGCGTCTACCGATTCTATGGACATTCAATTCATTAGGTTGAACTGGTAAATTTAGTTGTTCAAGGATCTGATTAATGAATAAGCGATCTTGTTCAATTTGCTCGTCAATCGACACATCAGCCTTTTCGGCACTGCCAAAAATAATTATGTTTTTAGCCCGTTTATGCCTTTCATTAACCTCCTGAATGATGGTTTCTTCGTTGGATCTATCAGAACGAAAATTAAGGAGTTGCTGCTGCAATGTATTAACGGTTTCACTAAGTTTGTTAATAGTTTCAACTAAATTTGGAAGTAATTTACAACAATTGCACTGTCCTGACTCGGTTGTATTATTTAATGAGCGACAGTTATCACATTTCCAGGAGACTCCATTTAAAGATTTAATTATATCAAAATGGGCTTTATCAATACCTATACATTTAATATGGAAGTAAATAGCACACGAGCTACATTTCATTGCAGGTACAGTAGGAGTTACTGCTCCATTACAGATTTTACATAGAACAGTCATTTTAGTAATGAGAAAGAAAGAAAAAAAATATATAGTGAGTGGATATGCAAATAAGGTGCTAAAATTACACCTCTGCCTTATAGGAATTGCAAGAATCCGACAATATTTAATATTGAGTTGAATAAAAATTAATAAAGTACGCAGACGCAAAAAAGATTCTAACTACTTGTAAAAAGTGTTCAGGCCACTTAAAAGATAGCGTAAAATAGCATAAGTTGTCACAAATTGCATTAATTTAAACACTTCAGCTTTGCCTGTCTAACAATGAGTTATATCACAATAAAAAGCAAAACTTACGGAACACTATGATGTGTTTATATAAAAATTTATCGTCTTATAACACCATCGAAATTCAAAAGAAAGCGGAGCAGAAATAATCGCGAGATTCACTCACTCACTCCACATAATTTAGATGAAGTAATATTGCTGGTAGAGAGTGGATCTTCCGGATTTAAATAATCAACTGCCCATGCATTATGCTTCTAGAAATCGTTTTAGTGGACATAAGATTATGTCATTTTTGATAAAAGAAGGTGGAGATGTAAATTTTCCAGATGGCGATCTTCGACGGCCGATTCATTATGCTTGTGAACAAGGAAACTTAGATGAAGTAAAGTTGTTGATAACGAATGGTGCGGAAGTGAATGTTCCGGATAGAAATGGTCGACTGCCTATCAATTATGCTTCTAGAAATTGTTTTGATAAACATAGAATTATGTCACTTTTGATACAAAATGGTGCCAGAGTGGATTTTCTAGATAGCGATCGCCGACGGCTGATTCATTATGCTTGCGAACAAGGAGATTTAGATGAAGTAATATTGCTCGTAGCAAATGGTGCTAAATTGAACGTTCCGGATGGAAATGGTCGACTGCCCATGCATTACGCGTCTAAAAATCGTTTTAATGGACACAAAATTACGTCCTATTTGATAAAAGAAGGTGCGAAACTCGATTCCCCTGATTACGATGGTCGGCTGCCGATTCATTATGCTTGTGAATTTGGTGATTTAGATGAAGTAATGTTGCTGGTAGCGAATGGTGCGAAAGTGAGTATTCCGGATAGAAATGGTCGATTGACCATGCATTACGCGTCTAAAAATCGTTTTAATGCACAAAGTATTATGACCTTTTTGATAAAAAAAGGTGCGAAACTTAATTCACCAGATGAAGATGGTAGACTGCCAATTCATTATGCTTGTGAATTTGGAGATTTAGATGAAGTAATATTCTTTGTAGCGAATGGTGCCCAAGTGGATGTTCCGGATGGAAATGGTCAGCTGCTCATGCATTATGGTTGTAGAAATCGTTTTAATGGACATAAAATTATGTCATTTTTGATAAAAAAAGGAGCGAAAGTAGATTCTCCAGACGACGATGGCCGGCTGCCAATTCACTATGCTTGTGAACAAGAAAATTTAGATGAAGTAATGTTGCTGGTAGCAAATGGTGCGAAAGTGGATATTCCTGATGGAAATGGTCGATTGACCATGCATTACGCGTGTAAAAATCGTTTTAATGGACATAAAATTTCGTCATTCTTGATAGAAAAAGGTGTGGAACTAGAGTCCCCAGATGACGATGGTCGGCTGCCGATTCATTATGCTTGTGAAAATGGAGATTTAGATGAAGTAATATTGCTAGTAGCGAATGGTGCCCCAGTGGATATTCCAGATGGTGATGGTCGGCTACCCATGCATTACGCATCTAAAAATTATTTTAATGGACACAGTATTATGTCCTTTTTGATAAAAGAAGGTGCGGAGATAGATTGCTATGATTACAATGGTTTATTGCCGATTCATTATGCTTGTGAGTATGCGCATTTAAAAGCAGTAAAGTTGCTGGTAGAGAATGGTGCCGACGTGGGTGTTCTGGATGGAAATGGTCTGACGTTAGTACATTACGCGTTAAAAAATCCCTTGGATCCACATAGGATTAGATCGTTTTTGATCCATATATACAATGATCTTTGAATTCTGGCTGAATTAAATCGGCTCTAACAATACATTTTTTTTATAAACTGATTGATGTCATTTAGCATAGAATGTGTAATATCGCAAAATTCCATTCGAGTTGTTGAAAATTGGAGAGCCAAGAGAAATTCGCAAAGGTCCTAAAACTTCACCAGAGACAAGGGTTCTCCCGACTGTTCTTTTCGAAATCGATCTTCTCCACTCATTCGAAACACCTCAATTGAATCTCACCAACTTCCACACATTCTTTATAAAACTCTTCGCACTCCTATTCTCGTTCTTCTTGTCATTAATTTTCTGTAAATGCGTCACATCGACGAAAAGTGTTAAGTGTGTTTCATTTAGTTTAACACAACGCAAGTGTAAACTGTTCGTGATTTTACAGTATTTTTCTCACAATTTAGCTTTAAGTCTTCGCTTGTGCTTTGACTGATGTAACCAAATCCGAAAATCTTGAACGATTAGTACTCTATATGATTAAGAAATAGACTGCATTTGAATTTATTAAATTACGTACAAAATAAAAAATCACTAACACAATTGATGCATTCTGATCAACAAACTGACCAATTTTTTTACATTTGTATAGGTCTTGAGTGCATTTTTATGAATGTAAAACTGCAGGAACTGTTAAAGAATAGAGTATTATATTATGTGAAAAGCTCTTCCAAACACTTCTAAAAATAAAATAAAAAGATTAAAATAAGGTACTTAAGTAGTATATATATTTGAGTATTACAAGGCCATTTAGGCCCAGAACTTAATACAAATCAATAAATACTTAATTAGATTAACAACTTCTCTAACTAGCCAATTTTTTTATATTTTTATCGGTCTTGAGTGCATTTTTATGCAGGAACTGTTAAAGATTAGAGTATTATATGTGAAAAGCTCCTTCAAACACTTCTAAAAATAAAATAAAACAAATTAAAATAAGGTACGTAATTAGTGATTATTTTGTAAATAATAATGTGCGACCATGTTCAAAGCGATTTCTCAATTAAATATCATACATTTTTGAAATTTTTAATTTATAGTAAAATAGATTCCCACTCGTTGCCATCAATTTATTAACTTCGAGTTTCATGTCAAATTGCTTGCAGAGGAATGTCCATGTATTTCGGCATCATCCATTTCGGGACTTGACTTTCGAATGTAATTTCTGAAAACCTAAACATTGTAGATTGATAAATAAAGCATTTGTAAGATAAAGGGAGGCTGTGATTAAAACGTCTAAAAATTTGTTGTTCATACGGTGTAAAAACATAATTATATTAATTTTTATATGTAAGATTTAAATGGAACACTTGTACATATTGTGTACATATCTTTTAGTATTGTAAAGTGTAGCATACTGCACCATCGCATCCTTTATAATTTTTAGGAAGATACAAAAAGTTATTTGATTACATAGGAAATTAACACCTGTTTATATTTATTTTCCCGAAATTTTAAATAAATGTAAGAACTATTCACTTTTAATATTCGCAACGTTTTTTAAAACTTGAGTGTCTCTTTATGGCAACAATAACCATACTCAACCGCCACCATAAAATAATACACACCCTCATTACAAAAAACAATTTATTTGCTCTTACTTCGTAACCACCTTAATCCAATCCTCCAACTTAGCTATATCCGCAAAAACAATAAACTCATCCAAATTACACGAATAATCCTCATTCTTAATAGCTGTCGACACCAACCCCCTCAAGTACCACCTCTCCCCCTTCTTAATAATAAACCCCGCCCCACTATCCCCACTACAAGGTCCACTCCCGTCTTTATTCCCTGCGCAGAACGTCATCTCCGACGTCAGATTCTTGAAATCAGCGTGCGACCTTAGACAGGTCTCTTGGGACACCACAGGCATGTCCACCTTTCTGGGTACTGCCACCACGTTCTGGACTTCCTCACTTTTACCCCAACCGGCGACAACCCCTTTCGAGCCGGTAATGCGTTTAAGATTGGTGTCTCCGGTCCATAGGCAGATGGGTCTGACTGTGGTCTTGAAGGACACTTCTTCGTTCAGCTTGATGACGGCGACGTCGCAGTGACCCGAACCTTGTTTGTAGTTGGGATGAGGGGTGACCTCGAGGGCTGTTCGGATCAAGGCGCCTGTGGTAGCCCAATGGGTGAGGTCGGAGCGGCCCATGACCAGGAGGATGTCCTCTTTGGCGATGAGTGGGGCTTTGTAGAACCACACGCAATGGGCAGCTGGGAAAATGATTCGTTTTGATTAACATTCTTGACTAATAGGTAGTTACCTGTAATGACGTGCCTATTCGTGATCAAGTTGGAGGTACACTGGAATGTGTAGGATACCCCTTGTCTGTGGAACATGGCAGCCAACCACGGGTACTCATTATCCACAGTCTTATCTCCTTTCAGTACTAAAGTCTGTATATCATTGGCGAGTCCACAACTTTCCTCGACCGTTAGTTTTGGTGGACGTGTGGTCACTGGAACGTTCTGGAATTCACTTATAGGGGGTGTCACCTGTGGTACGTTAGGGGAAGAAGGTTCGTTGTAATTGTTAACATTGTTCGATATGAAGGGATTGTTCACACCGCTCTGGATATTGTAGGTGTACTGGTTGATCCTAAAGATGACGTTGGCCCATAAGTTGGTAACTCCGTCAACGCTTACTGTAAAATGAGATTTTTTAGTTGAAGTTGGGTTTAATGGGGTTGAAGAGGTACCTGGTTCTGATGGTCCGTAGCAGAAAATTCGCCCGTTGAAGCTAATTTGGGTAATTTTGGGTATGACGTTACGTAGTGGAAAGTTGACTCTGTATCGTAGAACGGGACTATTGAGGATTTGCTCGGCTGGAGTAAGAAGATCCAACTTCAGTTTCTGTAAGTATGAATCAGATTAGACACTTTTAGTAGTTGTAAAATTTCAACACGGATTTTCAGGCATGAAGAATACGAAGTTTTAGTAGTAGAATGAAAATGTCCGAAAAACCGAACAACGCAGAAACTTTCGGATAAAAACCGAACAACGCAGAAACTTTGGGATTCTGTGGAAGTTTAAAACAAAAATTAATTTTCGCCGAGAATGTTACATCCTTGCTTGTATATTAGTAATTTGTTAATACATTGTGTTGGATCTAAAAAACTCCATATTTTATTTTAGAACATTTCAATCGGTGAAAAAGTCATCATGCTACCGCTGATTTTTGAAACTTGTAACAACAACGAGTACTTTTCAATATCCGTGCAAGTCAGTTGTATGTACTTTCATTCAATAAAGTAGTAACACCAGGTTATGGGGCCATATTAAACGCTGAGTCCAAAACAAAATAGAACTTCGCTGGTATGGGGAAATCTCATGGAATCATGCAATTAATGGACCCAATTTTGATGAATGCATGACATTATACTTTTTTTTAAATCTTAAACAAGTACTAGCCCGCCCACCCACCTTCTATTTTCTTAGAGGGTATGTCATTTGCCAAAATTAATCTTATCTTAACAAGTACCAGGCCCGCCCACTCACCCTCTATTTTCTTAGAGGGTATGTTATTCGTTAAAATCAGTCTTAGCAAATACTAAGAAAAAAAAACTATAAAATTTCTAATCGAAAAATGGAAGAAATGAAATATTGATAACTCAAAAATTGAAAACTCGTGAAATTTAATTTTTAATTTAGTAAAAATTAAATTGTAGCAATTATTTTACTGTTTACTTTGTTTTAAATATTAGATTCTACCCTTTGTCAAAATACAATCTAATTCCCATTTTACAGTAAATAGAGAAAAAAGTCAAAGAAATAGGGAGAAGGGGTGGGCGGAGCGGAGTTTAAATTTTTTTCAATAGAAACTTATATACAAACAGTAGGCCCGCCCACCTACCCCCTCTTCATTAATTCCAGTGACTGCTCTTAATATCGTTCAGTCTTATCTTAACAAGTATTCTACTTTCTTAGAGAGTATGGCATTTGCCAAAATTAGTCTTTTCTTAACCAGTACCAGGCCCGCCCACCCACCCTCTATTTTCTTAGAGAGTATGTCATTCGCTAAAATCACTCTTATCTTAGCAAATATTAAGAAAAAAAAAACAAAAATTTCTAATCGAAAAATTGCAGAAATTAAAAATTAAAATATCAAAAATTGAAAACTCGTGAAATTGCTGATAGAAAAATTACAAAATAAAATTCAAATTGTATTAAAAAAAATGTAATCCTAGATTCTATTATTTATCAATATAAAATTCATCTTCCGTTTTTCAGAGCCAATAAGAATGAATGATCAAACCGGAGAAGGGGTGGATGGGCGGGGCAACTTTTTACTTTGTTTTAAATCTTAGATTTTATCACTTGTTAAAATAAAATTCAATCGCCCTTTTTTTAGTAAATAAAAGGAGTCTATGAAATACTTAGGGAAAAGATGTGGGCGTGGCTGAATTTATCTTTTTTTTAAGAGGCTTATAGGGAAGCAGTAGCCCCACCCACCTATCCACTCTTTATTCCAGTGGCTACTCTTAATATTGTTCAGCCGTATCTTATCAAGTCCCTCTATTTTCTTGGAGGGTATATCGTTTGCCAAAATTATTCTTATCTTACCAAATACTAACAAGAAAAATTAAAGACTGAAAACTTGAAAATCGAGAAATGAAAGAAATGAAAAATTAAAAAATTAAAAATTGAAACAATTTTGTTAAAATTAAATTGTACTAAAAAATTTTATGGTCGATTCCATTAATTTATCAATATAAAATTCATCTTCCGTTCTTAAGAACCAATAAGAATGAATGATCAAAACGGAGTAGCGGTGGGTGGGAGGGGCCACTTTTTACTTTGTTTTAAATCTTAGATTCTATTCTAAATAGTCAAAGAAATAGAGAAAAGGGATGGGCGGAGCGGAGTTTAGATTTTCTCTAAAGATCCTTAAGAGTAAACGGTAGCCCCGCCCACCTACCCCCTCTTCATTCCAGTGACTGCTCTCGATTTCGTTCAGTCTTATCTTAAAAAGTACTAGCCGCGCCCCCTCCCCCACCCGCCCTATATTTTCTTAGAGATTATGTCATTTGCCAAAATTAGTCTTATCTTGGCAAATATTAAAAAAAAAATGCAAAATTTATAATCGAAAAAAGAAAAAATGAAAAATTGAAAACTCCTGAAATTGCTGATCGAAAAATTACAAAATCTAAAAATTGACACAATTTAGTAAAAATTACATTGTATTAAAAAAATATAATCCTAGGTTCTATTAATTTATTAATATAAAATCCAACTTCCGTTATTCAGAGCCAATAAAAATGAATGATCAAGACGAAATAGGGGTGGGTGGGTGGGGCCACTTTTTGTTTTCTTTTAAATCTTAGATTCTACCCCTTTTCAAAATACAATTTAATGCCCATTTAACAGTAAATAGGGAAAATTGTCAAAGAAATAGAGAAAAGGGGTGGGCGGAGCGGAGTTTAGCTTCTTTCCAAAGAACCCTATGAGCAAACAGTAGCCCGCCCACCCACCCTCTATTTTCTTAGAGAGTATGTCATTCGCTAACATTAATATTTTCTTAGCAAATACGAAGAAAAAAAAACTGAAAAATTTCTAATCGAAAAATGGAAGAAATGAAAAATTGAAAAATTAAAAATTGAAAACTCGTGAAATTGCGAAAAAATTACAAAATCTAAAAATTGATACAATTTAATAAAAATTAAATTGAATAAAAAAAGTAATCCTAGTTTCTATATATTTATCAATATAAAATCCAACTTTCAGAACCAATAAGAATGAAACAGAGTAGGGGTTGGTGGGCGGGTCAACTTTTTACTTTGTTTTAAATCTTAGATTTTACTACTTGTTAAAATAGAATTCAATCGCCCTTTTTTAGTAAATAAAATGAGTCAATGAAATAGATAAAACATATGGGTGGGCTGACTTTAAGTTTTTTTTAAGAGGCTAATAAGCAAGCAGTAGCCACACCCACCTCCCCCTCTTTATTCCAGCTACTCTTAATATTGTTCAGCCATATAATATCAAGTAGAAGCCCCACCCACCCGCCCACTGTTTTCTTGGAGGGTATATCGTTTGCCAAAATTATTCTTATCTTAGCAAGTACTAACAAAAAAAAATGAAAGGTTGAAAACTTGAAAATCGAAATCTTAGAGGGTATATCGTTTGCCAAAATTAGTCTTATCTTAACAAGTACCAGGCCCGCCCACCCACCCTCTATTTTTTTGAGGGTAGGTCATTCTCTTAGTCTTATCTTAGCAACTATTAAGAAAAAAAAGTGAAACATTTTTAATCGAAAAATTAAAGAACAAAGTCGTGAAATTGCTGATCGACAAATTACAAAAATCTAAAAATTAAAACAATTTAGTGAGCTATTTGCTTTGCTTTAAATCTTAGATTCTACCCTTTGTTAAAATACAATCTAATTCCCATTTTACAATAAATAGAGAAAATAGTCAAAGAAATAGAAAAAATAGGTGGGCGACGCGGAGTTTAGCTTTTTTCTAAAGAACCTTATATGCAAACAGTAGCCCCGCCCATCTACCTCAAGCTCAATATCATTCAGTCGTATGCTAACAAGTACTAGCCCCGCCCACTCGCCCTCTATTTTTTTAGAGAGTATGTCATTTGCAAAAATTAGTCTTATCTTAGCAAGTACTAGCCCCGTCCACCCGCCCTCTATTTTCTTAGAGAGTATGTTATTTGCCAAAATTACTTTTATCTTAACAAGTACTGGAACCGCCCACCCACCCTCTATTTTTTCAGAGGGTATGTCATTCGCTAAAATCATTCTTATCTTAACAAGTACTAGCCCCGCCCACCCGCCCTCTGTTTTCTTAGAGGGTATATGATTTGCCAAAATTAATCTTATCTTAACAAGTACCAGGCCCGCCCACCCACCCTCTATTTTCTTAGAGGGTATGTCATTCGCTAAAATCAGTCTTATCTTAGCAAATACTAAGAAAAAAGAACTGAAAAATTTCTAATCGAAAAATGGAAGAAATGAAAAATTGAAAACTCGTGAAATTGCTGATCTAAAAATTACAAAATCTAAAAGTTGAAAAACTCGTGAAATTGCTGATCGAAAAATTACAAAATCTAAAAATTGAAACAATTTAGTAAAAATTAAATTGTATTAAAAAAATATAATCCTAGATTCTACTAATTTATCAATATAAAACCCAAATTCCGTTCTTCAGAGCCAATAAGAATGAATGATCAAAACGGAGTAGGGGTGGGTGGGCGGGGCAACTTTTACTTTGTTTTAAATCTTAGATTTTACCACTTGTTAAAATAGAATTCAATCGCCCCTTTTTTAGTAAATAAAATGAGTCAATGAAATAGATAAAAGATGTGGGCGTGGCTGAATTTAGCTTTTTTTTAAGAGGCTTATAAGCAAGCAGTGGCCCCACCCATCTACCCCCTCTCTATTCCAGTGGCTACTCTTAATATTGTTCAGCCGTATATTATCAAATAGAAGCCCCGCCCACCCGCCCTCTATTTTCATGGAGGGTATATCGTTTGCCAAAAGTATTCTTATCTTAGCAAGTACTAACAAAATAAATGAAAGACTGAAAAGATGAAAATCGAAAAATGAAAGAAATGAAAAATTGAAAAATTAAAAATTGAAAACTAATGAAATTACTGATTGAAAAATTGAAAAATCCAAAAATTGAAATAATTTAGTTAAAATTAAATTGTATTAAAAAAATGTGATCGTCGACTATTAATTTATCAATATAAAATTCAACTTCCGTTCTTCAGAGCCAATAAGAATGAAAGATCAAAACGGAGTAGGGGTGTGTGGGCGGGGCCACTTTTTACTCTGTTTTGAATCTTAGATTCTATTTCTTGTCAAAATACAACTAAACTCCCATTTTACAGTAAATGAAGAAAATAATCAAAGAAATAGAGAAACGGGATGGGCGGAGCGGAGTTTCGCTTTTTATAAAGAACCTTATAACCAAACAGTACCCCGCCCACCTACCCCCTCTTCATTCCAGTGACTGCTCTTGATATGGTTCAGTCCTATCTTAACAAGTGGTAGCCCCGCCCACCCGCCCTCTATTTTCTTAGAGACTATGTCATTTGCCAAAATTAATCTTATCTTAACAAGTACCAGGCCCGCCCACCCACCCTCTATTTTAGCAAATACTAAGAAAAAAAAACTGAAAAACTTCTAATCGAGAAATGGAAGAAATGAGATATTGAAAAATCAAAAATTGAAAACTCGTGAAATTGCTGATCGAAAAATTACAAAATCTAAAAATTGAAACAATTTAATGAAAATTGCATTGTATTAAAAAAATGTAAGCCTAGATTTTATTAATTTATCAAAATAAAATCCAACTTGCGTTCTTAAGAGCCAATAGGAATGACTTATCAAAATCGAATAGGGGTGGGTGGGCGGGGTCAGTTTTTACTGTTTTTAATCGTAGATTCCATTACTTATTAAAATAGAATCAATTCTCATTTTTTAGTAAATAAAAAGAGTCAGTGAAATAGAGAAAAGGAGTGGGCGGGGCTGACTGTAGCTTTTTTCTAAAGAGTCTTATATAAGCAAGCAGTAGCCCCACCCACCTACCCCCTCTTTATTGTTCTTAATATTGTTCACTCGTATCTTAGCAAGTAGTAGCCCCGCCCACCCACCCTCTATTTTATTACAGGGTATGCCATTTGTCAAAATCAGTCTTATCTTACAAGTATTAAGAAAACAAAACTTGAAAAATTTCTAATCGAAAAATGAAAGAATTGAAAAATTGAAAAATCAAAAATTGAAAACACGTGAATCGAAAAATTGCAAAATCTAAAAACTGAAACAGTTTAGTACAAATCAAATGATATTAAAAAATGTAATCCTAGATTCTATTATTATTTATTAATAGGAAATCCAACTTTCGTTCTTCAGAGGGGTGGGTGGGCGGGGCCATTTTTTACTTTGTTTTAGATCTTAATTCTAGCCCTTGTCAAAATACAATTTAGTTCCCATTTTACAGTAAATAGAGAAAATAGTCAAAGAAATAGTGAAAAGGGGTGGACAGAGAGGAGTTTAGCTTTTTTCTAAGGGACCTTATAAGCAAATAGTAGCCCCGCCCACCCCCCCTCTCTATTTCCTTAGAGAATATGTCATTTATCAAAATTATGTGGAATAATATTATTTTATAACTATTAACATTATTATTATTATTTTAGAAAATTGAGATGTGCACATACAATACAATGTACCTTAGCACGAATAAAATCATCATTATTATTATTATTATTATATTTATTTGGGTCGAATCAGTAGGAAATCAATGACACATTTTTTTTAATATTTCTTTTAAGTTCAAAATTAAAACAAAAATTAAGTCCAGATTTAACCCTCCTACTCACCACATCTTGGTACAACCCCACCATGGAGATATTAACCGCCAAATCCAGGCTCTTGCTCCCGTCGTACGGAATCACAATCTCCCCAAAGTAAACCCCCCTTTGCTGTCTGTACGCGAAAATATCCGGACACGGATTGTCCGGTATCCTCTGCCCCCGCACCGCCCCCGCCAGCGCCGCCACCGCCACCGCGACCAGCCAAAAACGCGCCATTTTACACAAACTCGATCACCTCCTACCGACGACAATTAGCATCTTCTGATCCGGATTATCTCGCTAAAACTTTTGCCGCTCGAGTGATTAGCAACTGGATTTCCCAGCAAAGACGCACGGCACCGAGTCGAATCACATACTGAAAATACGTCCGTGTGTGGACAGGTTTTGTGGTCGAGTATTTACTGATCGGTGACAACAAAGGAAGGAATTGGGTCAGAAATCTTCCGAGATGGGAGAAATGGGTCAAAGGTGAACCGTGACCGAGCAGCGACCCGGTGTCGTCAAGGAACTAATTATGATAATTGTATTACTATGTTTATAACGTGATCTAGTTAGTCGGGGATGACCTTCAGATTTTTTGAATAATGTGAGAGCAGAGCAGGATTTGCGAATTTTAAGTGCGTCACATCCGTAAACAAACCACAGTACTTTTTATTAAATTGTGAAGGGTAAATCGGCACTATTGTATTCTACGAACTTTAAAAAAACTCAAACATTTTTTTATCTAAGCTCAAACGCCAACTTGAATCCATTTTTCGGCTTCAAGACTATATTAGTTGTCAGTTCAATGTCTTCAATCGCCTTAATGGAACTCGTAACCTTGAACTTCCTGATGACCATGGCCACGACGATTTTCACTACCATCATACCATATTTCATTCCTATAACAGGCGCGTTACCACGGCTTTCACTTTCGTACCACTGATTAGTACCCACCTACACAGTTCCGTGGTCCTCCTGAAAAAGGCAGCCATGTGTATGGGTGCCTGTTTAGGGACCTCTCTGGTAAAAACCTGTCGGGGTCGAACTTCAAAGGGTCGTCCCAGTACTTGGGACTGCGATGCAGGTGTAAGTACCCGATTGCCAGGTTGGACCCTTTTGGGATAACTAAGTCGGGTAAGATGATGTCCTCTTCGACGACTCGTCCGATGAAAGGGGCTCCCGGGAATATACGAAGGGTTTCTTTAATGACGCGCTCTGTGTATTTGAGTTTAGGTAAGTCCTCGAGGGTGATGGTACGATCGGGACCTAGGACTTCCATGACTTCTTTGTAGAGGTGGTACTGCAAAAAGGGTGGTTATTTTGGGGTTACTGTGAAGTGTTAAGTTACTTGGATGATTGGATGCATCCCTAGAAGGGTTAAGGCGAAGGAGATGGAGGTAGCGTTGGTGTCGGTACCCTAGTGGAAAATATGTTTACACTGTTGTAGTGGCAGTACTGGTGGTACTTACAGCAAGCAAGAAAGTGTTCACTTCGTCTTCGACTTCCTCTTCCGTGAATTCTTTAGTCAAGTATTTTTCCACGAGGAGGTCCAGCAGAGGCTTTTTCTTGTTTTCTGCAACAGTACTTTTAAAGTTTGAAAATCTAAATTTGAATAAATAACCTTCGGTTTCAAGTTGAGCCCCCAGTTGCTCCTTTTTCTTCTCGATTAACCCCCGACTGACTTTCTTAATCTTGTTAACGAGTTCTTCTTGGTCTTTATAGTCTTGGGTCCACCGAAAAATAAAGTCAAAATGATAGGATAACCGGAAGGCTTTCACAAACACTATTTCCACTAATCTGTCAATCAAATGACTATAATTGGCATCATTAACTTGTGCACTAATTGGTAGTCCGAAAATAGTTTCTAGAAAAAAATTTAGTTATCACTGACTTACGTACCATTAGTACTCACCCCCAACTATATCTATGGCACAGTTCGTCACATACCGACAATGGTCAATCTCCTCACCCCCAACCTTCGTCTGCAAAATCTCAATCAAAGTATTACACTGCTGACAAATAATCTCCGGGTACTCATTCAAAATTTTTTGATTTAAAGCCGGCGCGAGAATCTTCCGATGTCTCTTCCACACTTTCACCGGAGCCGAAATCATCCCATCCCCCAGAATCGGCTTCGTGTACTTATACAACTCGATCTTCTCAAAAGTACCCGGACTATTTAGTATCACCTCCAAGTACTCCGGTTTGCTGACCAAAAACACCAGCTCCGGGCCCATCCAGAACTTCGACAGCTCCGGGTGCTCGTCAAACAGTCGCATGAACCTCTTGGCGATCTCTGGAACCACCTAGTGTATTTTTCCGGGGGAAAAATGGGCGAGTGAGTACCTGAGGAATCTCCGTGGAGGAACATGTAGGCGCTTCCGATGAACGGGAAGTGCATGGGTCCGGGGATCTTCCAGGAGAGTTCGTAGAGGCGCTTTCGCTTCCAGAAGAACTGGAAGCACCACAGGGTAGCCAGGAGGGTCAAAGCGGCGAAGAGGAACATGGTAGACTGAGCTGCCCTTACATTGGCAGTGACTTTATCCTTGCCTTTCTCGTCTTATGCAAGGTGGAACGAGTGAAATGAAATTTGCATGGGTAATGAATAATTGTGTGGCCTTATGTGTATCAAGTGCAATGGAAAGGCTGGTGCGTGGGTACGAAAGAGCTATTTTTACCGCATCAGGTGAGAAGATGGGAGTGAAGGACGGGGTCTTGGGTTTTTACTGGTTAATTTGCTAAATTAGGGTGATTATGGTGCGAGGAGCGTGAAGATGGTGAGGTTTAAGTACGACAAGTGGGAAAGTTTGGAAGTACTTAATTGAGTTAAAATTGTTTGGGTTATATAACGCAAAATAAAATCGGTACTACTGAATGTTATTGTTAGAATATATTCTCTAGGGGGATAAGTGGATAAAACTAGAAACGTAATTAGAAAACAGTTTCATTGGGATGGTTTCCAAGGAATTGTGTGGGTTTTATGTGATAAATTTTAATGTGCTTGTTTTTTGTTTACAGGATCAAAGTGTGACAATTATAATAAACTCTTTTAGAAATTGTTTCGTGAATCATCATGCTATTTTCAAATTAAATTTTTCAGATCCAATAAGATATAGTACCATTTTTGGTACCGCTTTTGGCGGAAAATTTGTCAAAATTCTTCATTTCTATTTCGCTTCTTCAACTTTCAAATTTTGTCAAACTATGTTCTTTAATCGCAGTTCTGCTAATACTTTTGCTACTCCTTCTAATTGCTCTTCAGAAATCACTATCACGGTTGACAATATTTTGACACAAAATCTTCAAAATTGCGCTATTTTTATAAGAATTTAAGACTGTTATTTTACTTTTATTCGTAATGGCCGACGATAATTTTCTGTGTTTTGATCTACTGTCTATTTTCCTTTCGAGACTACTAATTTTTACAACATTTTGACTTGCCCAGCTTTAGCTAAAGCTTCTATATCCGTCTTATTTTTTTTGTGATACTTTTGTCCTTTAGTCACATTTTCAATCAATTTCGTTAATGACAATTTTGTAACGTTTTTATCAATTTATTGTTTTTTTTTTTTTCACTTTTTGTGAAATTTCTGTGGCGTTTGTTAGTGCTTTATAATCTCATTTTTTTGTCACTTTTTGCGGATTTTTGTAACCTATTTGTCTCCTTTTTGACAATGGTCGTTTTTTACCCCTTTTTTCATCTTTTTGTCCGAACTATTTTGTTGCATTTTTGTGTTTTATCGTATTTTTATGGTAATTTTTTCTCACTTTGTGCAGTCGCTTTTTGTTCTCTGTTTTTGAAGCCTCTTGTGACTTTTGTGTGTATTTATGTACTTATTTTTTCTTTTGTCCCTTTTTTGTCGCATTTTTTTTGGAATCTATTTTTGTCGCTTTGTGAGCTCGCCTTTTTTACTTGCCTTTTTAGTTTTTATCGCTTTTTTGTTAATCCTTATTGTTACTCTTACTCTTTTTGGACACTTTTTTATACCCTTATTTCGTTTTTTATGAAAATTTTTTGTCTCTTCGTGATTTTTGTCACTTTTATAGCTGCTTTTTTCAATAATTTTTTTATAACTTGTTTGACTTTTTTTTAAGCATTTTTTGTTCGCATTTTTGGCCCCCTTTTTTGGCAGTTTTTGTCGAGGTTTTCACATTTTTGTGGTCTTCTCTCTTTTAACCGCATTTTTTGTAACATTTCGGTCCAATTTTTAGCCACTTTTTCTCCTTTTTTTCATTGTTTGCTCTTTTTTATGTTTATTTGTACCGGCCTTTTTTTCGTCTTTTTGTTGAATTGTTTTTTTCTTCTGTTTTTGTAGTTTTTTCGTTTTCTTTTTTTTGCTCAGCTTTTTTTGTCACGTTTTTTGACTCCCTTCGTTTAGTCCCATTTTTATGTCTCAGTTTTTGTGGAATTGTTGTTATTTTTTTCCTCCTTTTCTATAGTCTTTTTTGCCTTCTTTTAGTTGCATTTTTTGTCGAATTTTTTAGGCCTGTTTTTAGTCGCTACTTTTTCTCATTTTTCCGGAAAACATCTTTTGTTCCTGTTTTATCTTTTTTGTAGTCATCTTTTTTTAGTTGCCTGTTTGGTTTTTTATCGTCTTTTTTGTCACTTTTTGTTAATTTTTATTGTCTTCTGTTTTTGTCGATTGTTTTTGGCCACTTTTCACTTTTGTTGTGGCCTTATTTCGATAGTTTTAATGAATTCTTTTTTGTTTTCCATTTTTACATTTTTTTGTGGATTTCTTCTCTCTTTCTTCGTAACTTCTTTTTGTCACTTTTTTGTCCCCTTTTTTTGTTGAATTTTTTTCGTCTTCCTGTTTCCCCATTTTTGGTCGCATTTTTTTGGAGTGGTTTTTTAATTTTTTGTTCTTTTTTATTGATTTTTTGTAATTTGTTACTTGACATTTTTTGCTATCTGTTTATGTGGCCTTTGTGGAGCTTTATCTTTGTTTAATTTTGACCATTTTTTTTGCTTTTTTTGTTCTCTCTTTTTGGACCCCTTTTATTTTTTTTGTTCTCCGTTTTCGTTCTTTTGGTGGATTTCTTGTTATTTCATCATCTATTTTTTTGTTACATTTTTTGTGGCCTTCTTGACTCATTTTTGTTAGTCGCATTTTTTGACCTTTTTTGTGTTTTTGTCATTTCCTTTGTAATTGTTTTCTTTTTTGCTATTTTTTTGCTCTCTTTTTGTCGATTTTTAGTAGTTTTTTTGAGGAATTTTTATCTTTTTTTGTAACGTTTTAACTTTTTGAGAATTTTTGCCGTTTTTTGTTATTTTTCTTGTGGAATTTTTGGTTTTTTTTTCCTGTTTTTTTTATTGTCTTTCTTTCTCTGCCTTCTTTTAGTTGCATTTTTGTCGATTTTTTAGGCCTGTTTTTGGTAGCTACTTTTTCTCCTTTTTGCCGGGAAACTTTTTCGTTGCTTTTTTGTCTTTTTGTGGTGCATTTTTGTTCCCTTTTATCTTTTATGTAGTCATCTTTTTTTAGTTGCCTTTTTGGTTTCTTATCGTCTTTTTTGTCACTTTTTGTTAACTTTTATTGTCTTCTGTTTTTGTCGATTGTTTTTGGCCACTTTTCACTTTTGTTGTGGCCTTATTTCGATAGTTTTAATGAATTCTTTTTTGTTTTCCATTTTCACATTTTTTTGTGGATTTCTTCTCTCTTTCTTCGTAATTTTTTTTTTGTCACTTTTTTGTCGCTTTTTTTGTTGAACTTTTTTCGACTTCCTGTTTTCCCATTTTTGGTCGCATTTTTTTGGAGTGGCTTTTTTATTGGTGGTCTTTTTTGTTCTTTTTTATTGATTTTTTTGTTATTTGTTAGTTGACATTTTTTGCCATCTGTTTATGTGGCCTTTTTGGAGTTTTTTCTTTGTTTAATTTTGATCATTTTTTTTTGTTCTCTTTTTGGACCCCTTTTGTTTTTTTTGTTCTCCGTTTTCGTTTTTTTGGCGGATTTCTTGTCCTTTTCATCATCTATTTTTTGTTACATTTTTGTGGCCTTTTTGACTCATTTTTGTTAGTCGCATTTTTTGACCTTTTTTTGTGTTTTTGTCATTTCCTTTGTAATTGTTTTCTTTTTTGCTATTTTTTTGCTCTCTTTTTGTGGATTCTTAGTAGCCCTTTTGAGAAATTTTTATTTTTTTTGTAACCTTTTGACTTTTTGAGAGTTTTTGTCGCTTTGTCGTTTTTGTTACTTTTCTTGTGGAATTTTTGTTATTTTTTCCTCCTTTTTTGATAGTCTTTCTTTCTCTGTCTTCTTTTAGTTGCATTTTTGTCGAATTTTTTAAGCCTGTTTTCAGTCGCTACTTTTTCTCATTTTCCCGGGAAACTTTTTAGTTGCTTTTTTGCCTTTTTTGGTGTATTTTTGTTTCTCTTTTATTTATTATTTTTTTTCATTCTTTGTGGTCGCTTTTTTTAGTTGCCTTTTTAGTTTTTTATCGTCTTTTTGTGTCACCTTTTGTTAATCTTTATTGTCCTCTGTTTTTGTCGATTGTTTTTGGCCACTTTTCACTTTTGTTGTGGCCTTATTTCGATTGTTTTAATGAATTTTTTTTCTTTTCCGTTTTTACATTTTTTTGTGAATCTTTTCTCTCTTTCTTCGTATCTTTTTGTCACCTTTTTCGTCCTCCTGTTTTCGCAATTTTGGTCGCATTTTTATGGACTTTTTATTTTATCGTTTTTTTTCTTGTGTCAATTTTTTGTCGCTTTTTTGTAGTTTTTTTATTGGTCGTCTTTTTTGTTACTTCTTTGTTGACATTTTTTGCCATCTGTTTATGTGGCCTTTTTAAAGCGTTTTTTGTTTAATTTTGATCAATTTTTTTTGTATAATTTTTTTGCTTTTTTTCTCTCTTTTCGAACCTCTTTTATTCTTTTTGTTCTCCTTTTTCGAATTTTTGTGGATTTATTGTCTCTTTTTTGTTACTTTTTTGTCACTTTTTTGTTGCCTTTTCGTGTAGTTTTTGTAGATTTTTGATAATGTCTTTTTTGTGACATTTGTCTTTATTCGCTTCTTTTATCCGCAGTTTTTTGTCGCGTTTTTATCCCATTTTTACCAACTTTTTATTTTTATCTTTTTTTCGCATTTTTTTGTGGATATTTTTTCTTTACCTTTTGTGTAACTTTTTTGTCGCAGTTTGCAGCCGTTTTTCTGCTGGTTTTTAATTATTTTTTTCTATTGAAGTTTTTTTATCGTCTTTGTTGAATTGTTTTTCCCTCTATTTTTGTAGCCTTTTTTGTGGTATTTTTTCGTTGTCTTTTAGTTTTTTTGTCGCCTTTTTTGACTCCCTTCTTTTAGTCATACTTTTATGTCTCAATTTTCTCATGGACAGATTTTTACATCCCGAGCGTATGCGACGCCGTCGACCGAGTCTCTACTTTACGTTTTCTCGACCTTTCATGACCCCTAGAGTACGAAAAAATAGGTCTCCCGTTTCCATCTGTCTGTCTGCCCATTTGTGTTTTTTTGTATACTTTTTATCTTTTTTTTTTGCTTTTTTGTTACATTTTTTGAC